GTTGTATGCTACACATCCAATGATAGTGTTGTATGCTACACATCCAATGATAGTGTTGTATGCTATACATCAAGTGATACAGATAGTATGACACATCACTAAGTACTGTCATCTGCCACAGACAGCTATTACAGAATCAACACTGTTGTCTAATACAAAACGGACAACTATTGTTGAGCACTATCCCACTCCATTTATGTGCATGATGAACATGATACTGTATTGACCGTATGAGTGCGGCATTAACGCGTGTGAAAGTGGAAAGCATGGCTTGCAGGGCATATCATGTCTTCTCACAATCGATAGCCGTGTTAACTACAGTAGAGTGTGTAGGAGTAGGAGGGTTCAAATTTTTATTAGAGATTTTGGTGCGATTATGAATCTCTATTTTACTGGTGCAATGATGTAATGTGTAAATGCCTTCTAAATACATGTGTAGGTGGCACTGTATCCTGTAAACTCCTGAGCAAGTTGAGCACGGAACAGATAGATCAAGTCCGTATAATAACAATAGTGCACATCAACCATCTAGCAGATATGGTTGTGACCGTTGCAATAGGCAGATGCCTAACATTGACAGCTACTTGTAACCGCATCTATGCAAGACCGATATAACATATTTGACATTTGTTATCGTGATGAACGGAGGAATAGTGATGTGAAAACGTGAACCAATATTCCAATGTTAATTTAGATATGTTTGCACCTTGATTTTCATTTTCGAATGCAGTGTATTTCATGTACGTCTCTAATGAGAAAGTACCGTCCTTCTGTGCTTGCATGTTCTGCTGTGGGACTTGGGGAACATTCGTCTAGTAGCATAATTACAATTTAGTGTGTAAATACTTGACTATACTGTTACCAAGGTTTTATTTATTTACCGATAGCAGGAGTGTATAATAGGAGTGTATAATAGGAGTGTATAATAGTGTATAATAGGAGTGTATAATATCCCTATTATACACTCCTGCCGATAGCTAACTGTGAAGAGCAACATTTGAACACAACCTAAACAAAGCAGTAATTAATGCAATGTAATCTTTATTTTTCATTGACACTTATCAGAATTATAAAATACATTTAATGTCACAAAATCGATTTCATTTCAGTGACTAATAATCTACTACTTTAAACGGGTCTATCATTTTGAGCTTCTCAACAGCATCAACACGTAATCTGTATCAAACAAAAGTAGGCCCTGTCTACTAACAATGCACGTCCTGGCATATGCACAGGGAAGCTGTTATGGGATTAGTCTGATGTCATCCCAATCCTCTCGTCGCAATGCTTCCCCTTCCAACCTTCATAACACTTGCAGTAGTAATTCTCCTTCATCGTGTTCGCACCATCGTGACCCTTCCCTGACCTGTACCGCCGGTAGCTCGCCAGCATCCGTCGCCGACTCGCGTACGCCACTGCGGGAGACGCCACCAGCGCGTCTCGCAGCGCGCAGCGGCCGCGCAGGCTGCACAGCTCGCGGCCGCACACCGTCGCTCGCGCCACTACGTAATCCACGAAGGGTGCCAGCGTGCGCTGTAGGTACGCGGCGAGCGCGCGGCACCTGCGGGCAGAGCCGACGCTCGCGCTACTCCCCCACACCACGACCCCGGGCAGGCCGAGGTCAGCCGCCTGCCCGACCGTGTTCGCGAGGTCGGCGGTGGTCAGCAGTGCGTCCGGACGACCCTCGTACGCATACGACGTGTAGGGGAAGATGGCCACCGCCGGCGCAGCGCCGCTGGCGTTCGACACGCGCAATGCCTCGTGAAGCTGCGCATGAACGTAGTCGAAGTGTCCTCTGTGCCCGTCGTCGCCGGCCTTGTTGTTCACGATCAACCGCCCGCTGTTGAGGTATATAGATGGGAACAGCGCGCGGCTGTTCGCGAACAACCACGAGAGTTGGTCGTCGCGCGCTCGCATGCGTTCGGAGCAGTACTGCAGCTGGGCATGGTCGTAGCAGTCTGGGAAGCCGTAGTACCCCCACACGCTCTCTCGCCGCAGCGCCACTGCCACCGCCAGCGTCCGCTCAAAGTAGCGTCTCGCTGCAGCGTCAAACTCTCGCCTTGCCTCGCGCCGGACCGCGTCTCGGCTCCAGCCGGGGTGTCGCGACACCACGAGCGCGTCGGACTCCACGCGGTAGACGTCGAGCGAGTCGAAATTCGAGTCGTACTGGGGGCGCCACGATTCGAAGTCGATGACGGCGAGACCGGCGTTGTGCGGGTCGGGTAAGAGTTTGACGACGTCATCGGTGACTTGTGTCAGATGTGCGGTGAGGTTGCCCAGCTGCGGGAGGCCGCCGTCGCGAGGCACGCCGTTCTCGTAGTATGGAAAGCGCCCGATGCCATAGAAGATGGTGACGACGTCGCCGTTGAAGGTTTCCATAGAGTTGGTGGCGAATGCGTGGTTTGTCACGTTAATCACGACGCCCTTGTTTCTACATTGTTGACTCGGCGAGTCCCAAGTTACAACAAATGGTTTACGTGGCTGATGACTGTTAATGCTGGCACAAGTTACACAGCCGAAAAAGCATACACTGACAATTAAGGCTCTAGTAATTAGACACCCTAAAGACAGCCATATGTCCCGTACACTTTTGCAGTCGTCATGTAATGCCATTTTATGGCTCAAAGTAGCGTTTACACACCCATGTCGTGAGTTTGGTTAATGTGAGGGTACAGTCTTAAAAATGGACAGAGGTCATCTTGAAGGTGTTGTCAACTAATTTCTATCAAGAAAGGGGCCATTTGTTGTCGCAAAGGCGCGACAATATGTCGTTTCACCCAGCAACCTCACCTTGTTTTGACCATTTCTCACGATTTCACGAATGAACACAACACATGTTCGCAAGTAAACAAGTACAATAATCGAAGCAAATTACAAGATTTCGAAACGGAAATAGGTGGCAGCACTGTACCTTTTGTTTTCACGCGACGCCAACAACCACTGTGCCAACAACCCGCTCTTGTATCTTGTATCCTTTCCTCCCTCTCTTGTATTTCACAAGGCACTCGATTTATATTTGAAGTACACCGATGCAAGTGAGTACAATTTGACATGTAAGTAACGTCACGTAATGTATGTTGCTAGTACTAGTACTTAGTTACTATTAAATACTATACTGACGGTTTGTCGATTGTATTAAACTAATGATGGCCAAATCCTATTTGACACCCCAGGTTTAAAAACAAATTTTTTTCTTCGATAGATGGCGCCACTACGCTATATACTGTAAAATCGTGACTGTTCAAATGAAGTTGCAGTTTGCGTCGATAAATGTTTTTGTCTTGAAAGTCGTGCTTCGTCTCGAATTTTATATGTTTGTAAACATATTTGTAATTGTGCTTGCGTTTTGTCCCTGTGGGCCACCGTAACCTACTCCTGCATTTAGGGTTAGGGTTAGAGTTACCGGTTTAGTGGTCGGCTCAGTAGGGTCTAAATGTCCGCCCAGGTTACTGCGGAACGTAGGCACGACAGCTCTGGTTACGGAGTCCGGTATAGGCCGGAACGTTACCTGGTCAGCGCTATTTGGATATGGGTTAGGGTTAGTGATTAGGGTGTAGGGTTACGGGGAGTAGGCGTAGAGCGACTCCCAGACTCGTTTAGTGCGAGTACCGGCGAGATCAAAGATTCGTAAGAGTGATACAAGACTTAAACAGCCTCATGCGGAAATCCACGTGCGCAATGACGCTGTGCTACGCAATCGGAGCGCCAAGCACGTGCCGCATTTCTAGGAAGCAAAACCCGCCTCCGCGTCCGTTTGATTCACAAATAGGAAAATATGGATAACCATGGTTTATATATATATGTACAGTTATAAATATAACTCGTATCACGATCACATCTTTTTAAAATGTGCCAATAAGCCGAGTGATATCAAACTCTCATTCAAGTGTACAAGAAATCTAGACATGGGATTCATATCGGATTCGTTAGCTTCATGTCAGTATGTACACAAGTGCAGTGCCAGCATAGAGTGGATGTACGGCGAAGATGACCTAATACGCCCGGCGGAGTTTAGAAGGGAGAAGGTGGTCGGAGAGCGGGGACCAGAGAAGCTGGTGAGTGAACAAGGAGCGGGAGAAGACTGGTGGAGGACAGGACGGAAGAATGGAGAAGGAGGGGCGAGAAGGGAGCTGGTTGGAGGAGGAAGGGGGAGAAGGGACGAAGGGGAGAAGAGGCGCTGGTGGCGGAGGAGGGTTGGAGAAGGGAAGAAGGGGATGGAGCGAGGGGAGAGACGGGGGAGCTGGTGGAGGAGGAGGGGGAGAAAGGGAGCAAGGGCGATAAGGACGGGGGCGAGAAGGGAAGCTGGTGGCAGGAGGTGGAGGCGGCAGAAGGGGAAGACAGGTTCGTGGAGGAGGGGGAGAAGCTGGTGGAATAAGGAGGGAAGGGGAGAACGAGAGAAGGTGGTGAGAAGGCAAGATGGGAGACAGCTGGTGGAGAAAGAAGGTGAGGGGCGAAGCTGGTGGAGGAGAAAGGCGGAGAAGCTCGGTCGGAAGAAAGAGGAGGCACGAGGGGGAGAAGCTGGTGGCGTAGCTTCACTCCTCTGCCAATCCAGCTTTCTCTCCCTTAAAACCTCCTTCTCCAGCGCAGCTCCGCTGATCTCGCCCCTTCCTCCTCTCCACCAGCCTTCTCCCCTTCTCTTACCTTCTCCACCAGCGTTCTCCCCTCCCTCCCTCTCTCCAAACACCAGGCCTTCTCCGCTTCTCCTTCCTCCTTCTCCCACCCGCAGCTATCTCCTTCCCTTCTGCCAACTACTCGTCTCTTCTCACCCCTTCCTCCTTCTTCGCGCACCCAGCTTCTCCCCCACTCCTCCTGTCTCCAAATACTTCTTCCCTTCTGCCCCCTCCTCCTTCTTCCCACCAGCTTCTCCCTTCCTTCTCCCACCCACCTCTGCTCTACCCGCCTCCTCCTTCTCCACCAGCTTCTCCTTCTTTCTCCCCAACCACCTTTCTCCCCTTCTCCTTCTTTCCAACCAGCTTCTCCCCCGTCCTCCTTCTCCACGCAGCTTGGCGTCCCTTCTCCGCCTCCCTCCTTCTCACACAAAGCTCTACCGCTTCCGGCTCGCTCTCTCCACTCACGCCTCTTCCTTCTCCCCTTCCTCGCTTTTCCCCAGCATATTTCTCCCTTCCCGTCCTTGCTCCAGGCCCACTTCTGTCTCCACGCCCACCCTATCGCTGCCCTTCTCCCACCAAGCATCTCCGCCTCCCCTCATTCTCCACCCGCCCCTTCTGCCTCTCCCTCTCCCCACTTCCTCATTCCTAGCCATAATTGGAAGGTCGGTCCTGCGGGGGCCGCGCGTGCGTAATAGCCATATTGAATCCTTATCCACACGGCCGTATGCCGGTGCGTATACTGTATAGTCTACGGCCCAGTGGTGTATGGTGGTCAGACAGGCACGACAGACTAAGCACGGCGGGACAACACACGAGTTCTGACAGGCACAGACACTCTCCAAATTCAGGACACACAGCCAGCTCAACAAATAATGGTAAATTAAGACACTAAACTCAGCACTCAATCTAGCTATCCAACAGTATTAAGGACTGGTTTCTCTAACATCTATTCTCGCACTATTAGTTGTCGA